ACACATCTCATGGCTCAAGTGACTACTTGAGTTGCTTGTGTAGTCTGGCTGTCCTTCCTTGGGAGGTTCCATCCCAGGTTGGAGCAGCTTCCTCGGCCACCGAGGAAATGGCACAACCCAGGAAAAGGACTGTAGCTCAGGGGCAGAACATCTTGCATGTGGAAGATCTCAAGTTTAATCCCTGGCTTTCCCAAGTAGGACTGGGACTGTCCCCATCTGAAATCCCGGAGAGCAACTGCCAGTCTATTTGGGTCATCAGGTATCTGTTGCAAGCACCACATGGCACTTGAACCTCAGAATAATCAATCCAGCTGCCCAGATAGGATGAGAGGTCAGCCATGGTTCTATTTCCTGAGCAACTGCGCATTGTAGTCCTTGCTTCCAAATGAATTTGTTACGTCTCATTGCTAAGTGACTTGCTGTGAGTGTCGTGGAGTGCTGGACATAGCATCCTGGGCCAAGCAAGCTGCCTCGGGGCCCCATAGATTACTCTGAGATCCCATAGGTTGCTATGGGATCCTTGGTCTGCTAACATTCCATAAAAATCCACGAGATCCACAGCTGAGTCTTTAGGTTCCATTGATTTCAGGGGGGCATTTGTGAGCCTGTCTTCTCTGGGTTGTTCCACTTCCCAACGCTGCGTGCATTAGAAATTGTGCCATTTCAGAAAAGCAGGCAGGCAACTTGCTCACAACAGTGAAAGAAATGTCCTTAACTGGGTTCCGAGGGCAGCCAGAACTGCAAGGCTGCCCACCGTCCGACACCTCCCGAGATGTCATCAGATTCCACACATGCCTTCTATTTGAATAGGCTGCCATATTTCCTTACGGTATTGTACAGGCCTATGCAGCTGCATGGACATTGAAAAAACGGCTGCAATGAGGCAGAGGCAAGAGAGAGACACAGAGAAAGCCGTGATGGGAGATAGAGGCTTAGAGGACTGTGGTGCGTTCCTCTGGCCATCTATTGGAAGATGTGTTTCTGCAGCTTAGCCCACAGCAATACAGTCAGCTGCCCCCTAGCCGGTACATGGGTTATTCACCGTGTCCCCTGTCCCACCCAAACAAAGCCTCTGGGAAGGAGAATATCCACTGAGGCAATTTTGATGTAGTGACATGTGTCATGGGTTGTTCAATAATATGGGGCAGGACTAAAGCCAGGAAATCGCAGTGACTTTACCCCCTTTCTGTAAAGAAACTTTTAAGGTGCAATTCAAACTCACTTTACCTGGGATTAAGCCCCATTTAATTCCATAAGACTTGCTTCTCGGTAGGATTGTGCTGTAATTCACTAAAACCAATTTTCTCTGCCTAAAAAGCAGTAGCGAGATTCAGTTTTCCTGATGCATCCTCATAGGAAAAACATCGGCAGTGCCCTTCTATTGAGTCAGAGCATTGGTTCACCTAGTCCAGTAATGGGGGTCTGGGAGAGGATTTTCTCTGAGGCCTCCCGTAATTGTTGAATGTCCTCCCCATAGAGCTGTGTCTAGCTAGACTCTATCACTGTCATTATTCAGCTTCCATTATTTGCTGAAGATTATCCTTTTTACCCTAACGTATTTTGTGGGACCAATCTCTTCTGTTCTGGTTGACCTGCACTGCGCTGCTTTTGTTTGGAATTGTTTGGCTTGGTTTTAATTGCATGAATATATTTGTTGCAATCCACTCTAGGACCTTATGTTGAAAGGTAAGAAATCTTATAAATAAACAATATTGCCTGCACTGACTGGCAGCCACTGTCCTCTGCTTTAGACAGGATCTCTCCTAACCCTACCTTAGAGATGTTGGGCACTGAACCTGGGACCTTTTGCAGGTGCTCTACCCCTGAGCTATGGTGTTTCTGCTTTTGATTCCATTTATCACTCTTTCCCCTTGCCTTCCCCCAATGGTCTTGGTTTTCTTAGTACTGTTCTTCCTTGGTTTCCCTCTTATTTTGTGAACTGTAGTTACCTTGTATTGGTTAATGCTTCTTTTTCTTTTTTTCTTTCCCCAATTGGGGTTCCACGAGTTTCAGCGTTGGACCCTTTGCTTCTCATTCCCATTCCTTTATGGTCTCTTATTCACTCCTTTGGTATGTTGCCATGTCTATGCTGATGATATTCAGTTATTCTTTACTATCTCTGATCTGTCGTCTTGTTTAAATCTTTGATCTTGTCTTGCTATTTCTTCACAGCTGTCTGCTTGTTCTTTAAAGCTAAATCTTTCAAGGACAAAATTTCTTATTTTTTTTCCTCTGGACTTTTCCCTTCCCGTCTGTTTTTGTCAATGATGCAACTATTTTTCTTTCCTTTCAAATCAAAGATATTGCTCCTCTTTTTTTTCCTTCTGTGATTCCATCTTTAGCCAAGCCTTTTCTAGCCTTTTTCAGTTGTCTAATATTGATAAGATCCTCCCCCCCCCCCCGTTATTTCTGCCCATTGTTCCATCTGTGTTCTCATTTTGCCCAGATTGGGTGATTGTAAGACTCCTTAGGTAGTCTTCCCATTTTAAGCTTCTTGTTTCTTAATTTGATTTTTTTCTTCCCCTGCCCCATCTTATTTATTTTTTTCGACATGCAAATACGATCACGCATCTCTGCTTATGATGTTGCCTTTTTTCCCTTTTCACATTCAATTTAAGATTATGTTACTTCCCTCTAGCGCCTTTCATTTCTGATTTCTCTGTAGTCTCTTTTGGGGTCTTTGTTGCTTCTTACATCACATCTCTTCCTTTGATTCATGCTTTGGTTCTTCTTTTCCTTATCTACGAAACTCTTTACCAGCTGATATGTGATTAATTTATTCTCTTCTTTTTTTAGCAAATGCCTTAGGACTCGCTTATTTTTGCATTTGGCCTGCTCCGGTTTTTTAGTACTAGTGCCTCTGTGTGTATATGTGTGTGTGTGTGTGTGTGTGTGTGTGTGTGTGTGTGTTGTTTTGGGCGCGCCAGTTAAGCACTTCACAATTAATCAATATTATTTTCTCTCCTCTTCCTTTATTTGTGGTTGGTAACTGTGCAGGAGTAAAGGGCATCAGGACCAGCATGACATTCCTGTTGAAGGGGAAAGAGGGAGGGTTTGACTTTCATTTGCTCATGAAATTCAAATATGGGTTATAAGGCTGTGAGGTACAGGGACGGAAAAAAACCATTCCTCATCTAATATTCTGACATGAAACATGAAAAGTTTTATGTGGTCAAGCCAGCACAGGCTGATATTGACTGTTATCTCCCAAGAATGTGAAGAGAGCAGGCATTCTATGCCTCCGGAAATCTGTGCTGCACAGTCTTAGCCTGTACTGAAAATATGTGCAATTTTATTTTGTGCTAAAAAAAGAGAGGGAGTGTCCATCAAGCCCTTAGTGGGCTCTACCCTAACTCCCACCCCCAAAAAACCTGGTTGTTGCTATTTAATCTTGTGTATGTCACTCTTTCTAGACCATATGAGAAAATAAAGGTACTTTATTAAACTATGTCAGATTGTGGAGTTAACTATCTGGATGTATGGATTTGTGTTTTCTCTTAACGTGTGTGGCCGACCCAAGACTCACGGGCATCCAAGGCAGAAAATCCAGATAGCATTTGTCTATGTCAGTAACCAACGGCCCACAAGTCGTGTCGTTATTTCTTATCTGTGGGGATTGCATAATGATTGGCCCTAGTGAACTCCCACTGCCTTCTAAGAAGGCAAATAAATTTTGTTTTCTGAAAGCATTCTATGAATTTTGTTTTCTGAAGGCAGCCCTGTATAGGGAAGTTTTAAATGTTTGATGTCTTACTGTGTTTTTATATTTTGTTGGCTGGGGCAACCCAATCAGATGGGCAGTTGTTTGTTGTTTGTTGTTATCATTATTATTTTCTAGTCTGTTCCCTCTGTCTTAATAATAAAATAATCAGTCAATCCTTATTGTAAAATGATTCTAAACATTATAAAATAAACATTATAAGCATTATAAAATAATACTTGTGGAGTACGTCGTAATTAGTGCAAATGTCTTCTTATATCCCAGGATGAGAAGCAATGATAATATCACTAGCAGAATAGATAAATTAATAAATAATATAAAAATGTATTCTAAGCTGTTCTTTATTTCAGATTTTTGAGGGGGGGGGGTTCGCCGTTAGATGTAACTAACTTCTCTTACCTGCCACCACCTTCAGATATTACAGTCTTGCATTCAGTTCTTTCATTTAGTGCAGATTTGCTGCCAATTCCAGGAATTGGATGTGGGATTGTGTGTAAATCAAAATGGATAAAGCGGCGCTCAATTGGCTGCCTTGAGCTGATAGCGTTCTGGTTAGATTGTTTGTTGCTCCGCATGTGCCGTTGTCGAAGGCAATGGACTTTGTAACTGCGGACTTGGGCTCTTGTTCCTACAGGGTCTTTCCAAAGGATTTCTGAGCTGCCTCCCTGAGTGCAAAATGCCTTTAATCCCTCGGTGTGTTTGTGTTTGGGGATTTACGAGATTCATCGGCACGAGCAGAAGTCTCTGCTTTGTTCCAACAAAAGGCAGCGGCCTGGCATTTCTTCCCTTAAGCTTTTCCTAGCACAAATGCACCCATCGGAGCCTTGGCGTATTAATATGCCACGGCACAAAGTATTGTCAGCCCATAAAATATGATACATGATAAAATGTATCAATTCTGAGCGCCACAAATCTGCCGTTTCACCTCAGCATGAAGGCAAATGAGTTTCCTTTAGCTCGAGTGAGTTCAGAGATAAACTTCAATTTAACAAAATTTCATTTTGCAAGAACCAGTGGGGCTGCTGCCCTTGGTGTGCGGATTCCTTATCAGTGCGTTAGGCTTTGGAGGCTATTAGTCAACTTAATTTGGGAAAATGCCAGGATAATTTGCTGATTAGACGGGTGCAGTGGAGAGGGGCAGGAGGGTGAAGCTGTGTCAGTACAAAGTTTTTGTTTCACAATCTGTTTAAATGCGCGCACACGCGGTTGCTTGATATCATTCGTATGTTTTGTACGCAGACGTATAAATTGATGTTTGTATTGTGTGTTTGATGTGCAGATAAGCCTGAAGTGCAAGTCCTGCAGAACTCCCCTGCACAGCCTCTAACGAGAGAAGGAGACCTCCTCGACCTTCTGTGCCAAGTGAAGGGCAAACCAGAGTAAGTGGAGGACCTGAGACTCTGTCAGAACGTGCCCATCCACGTTACTGGGCTGTTTGAGGAGAGTGCCTGACTCCTTCTGGTCTTTTTCTTGAGCATGTTCAGCACCCAGTCCTGTTCTCCTGCGTTGGTATGACATTGCATGTCTGAAGCACAAGGCCATGAGAAAGCACCTGCAGCCATGGGGAACCCCATGGGGAACCTGGGGTGGTGGGAACCTGTGGCTCTCTAGGCATTGTTCGACTCTCTCCAACTCCCATCAGCCCCAGCCCATGTGTCCAGTGGTCAGTGGTGATGCGAGCTGGCATCCAGCCACACCCAGAGGGCTGCAGATCCCCCACCCTTGGTCCACGTCCGCTCTTCGACTAGCAGATAGGTTTGCGTGGCTGCAGAAACTTGGAAGTGCCCAAAGGAAACATTGGCCGCAGTCAGACTGCAGATAAAATGCTAAGGGAAGTTATCTATTTGAAAATGCTAGGGGTGAGATTCTAGAAAATATAGGTCTCCCCCCACCAATACTAAATAAGAAGGGCTTTGCCCTTACATTTTCCCTCTCCTCTGATTTTGTTTTCCACGGTGAACGCAGCTTAGATTTCGTTCAGTTTTAAGTTGACCTTCCCCTCCAGTATTTTCCTTCTTTGCTCCTGAGCCTGCCCTTTTTTCAGTGTCTGTTTTAACACATGAACCCTAACAGAGACATCTCTGATCAATATGCTCCTGTTTTGAAATTTTTAGCTACAGAAGACTGATCCTTTCCTCTCACCCCAGGCTCAGTCACTTTTTATCCATCATCTTTTACTATGAATTCAGATCTAGGGCTGAAATCCTAATGTATGCTTACGTGAGAGTAACTCCCCTTGAACTTAGTAGATCTGACTTCCAAGTAAATGCATAGGATTGAACTGTGCGCTGCTTTCCCTCAGCTTTTCTTTTTTCTGTTTAACTGTTGTATCTTGCAGAGCCCTTTTATTCCTGCGTGTGGTATATTATCCTTCACTTGGTATGTGTAAAGCTTTGCATATTGTGGCTTTAAACTTGTTTTTCCAAATCCTGTGTGAGAAGAGGAAGAGAGAGGGGATGATTGCTCACTTGGAAATTATGTCTCTGGTGTTCTTTGCAATTCAGAAAGCCAAAGGAAACCGAGGACATTATGGACTGATTTACCTTAGTTATGTCTCTCTCCAACAAACGTTTTGCGTTGCTTCCAGAAGATGCTAAGAATTTGATGGAAAAGAATTTCAGAGCTGAGAAATAATACCCAAGCATCCTCCTGTGTGTGCCCCCACAAAGAAAATGCTGAGCCTCCCTGCTTTTCCAATTGCATATTCTCTCTCTCACTCTCTTTCTCCCTGCCCATTAAAGTTGGATATTTGTTACTGAACTCAACTATATCACAGGAAGAAAGAAATGCTACTTATGACAGTGACTTAACATGCAAGTAAAAGGGTTAGTAATGCATTTGCGGTTATTGTTTTGTTTTGTCTTCTCCTTGCTTAGGCCTACAGATGTGTCATGGTTAAGAGTAGACGACGAGATGCCTCAACACGTTATAGTGTCAGGTTCAAACCTCCACATTAACAGCCTAAACAAAAGCGATAACGGCACATACCGCTGCAAGGCTTCCAATGAAGTGGGGATGTCCTTTTCCGATTACACACTTTATGTATACGGTACGTGAGACAAACACACCCTTCTTCCAGATGTCTTTATGCTGAATTGCTGTCAAATATTCTGGGCAGGGGGTTGTGGGGAGGGGGTGGAATAAGAAAGCAGTTTGATGGAGAAAGCAGCCTCTGATAACTGTTCAAACTCGGCACGTTAAGTGAGTGGGTTGTTTAAAACACACACAGAAAACCCCAAACCAAGCCTGTTTACTTCTGTCTTCTTTCCCCCATCTGATTCAGACTGTGTTTTCTTCCCATGTCAAGTAAGCAACTACTGCCTGCACTGTCATTAAGTGCTGGCATGGAGAAGGGGAGTTGCCAGATGCAAAGAGGGGCAGGGCAATAAACATCTTGGAGTCATCCTGTTTCATTTCACAATCCAGGACGGCTTCAGCCATATTCCCATTTGTATTCCAGTGAAGTCTTTTCAGAAGCATCTGAAAAAATGAGCACGAGAGTTTGTTTGTTTTTATTATTTTAAGCCAGGCCTTCTTTAGCAAGTTAAATAACTGAAGATGTGTGCAGATAATGTAACCCAGCACACAATCTGGAAAGGCAAGTCTCATTCTGCCTGTCTTCAGCTGCCAAAGAGGCACTAAAACATTTGCTAAGGCATTTTCTTAAAAGTGCCGTTTATGTACCTGCTTTAATTCTGTTTTCCTGGGTTTCTTTTTACCATTCCTTAAAATGTTGTGGCATAAATAGCAGTAATCCTAGCCTGCGAAAAGAAAAATTAAATAATTTCCCTCCCACCCCAGAGCTACCTTTCAGAATGCAGTCCTTTCAGCCTTGGGAAGACTGGTGTGTTCTGTGTGACATGAACACATTGCTGCTCTGTAAGCTGTGGTGCTGCCAGTGTGGACAGATAAATCAAGGCGTCTAATAATGAGAGCCACTTGTTTTCAGATCATTGTGTTCCTGAATCCCCTCGCTTCCAGAAGACTCTTTCTAGGAAAACTTTAGGGGGTGATTGTTGGTTGCAGTCCCATTCCATGAAATGTCACTTCACATGTGTAGGGCATTCAATTTATATAGCAGGCACTGTCGTAAATGTTGCAGCTTCAGAATGTTTAATGGGTAAGTTGCCTTCAGTCATTCCTTTCCCATGCATCTAACCTCCCTGCAACCCCCCGGCCTCCCAAGTCTGCCCTCTCCAGCAGCTTAGTGTTGCTCTGCATATTGATGCTTGCAATGCAGCAGCTCAGTCTGGGCTTCTGACCCTGTGCACTGTTCCAAGTTGTTATAATCTGTCAACCGTCATGGGCCTCCATCCTTGACATTAGTTTGCAAGTGCAGAGTTGGAGCAGAGCAGTAGATTTGTTTGCTTGGGGCACAAAGCGTGAAACCCACCAATTGCAATCTTCACCCAGGGAGAGGCATTGTGAGATTCCCCTCTGTACTTGTATAGGTCAGCTAACTGCATAGTTTATTCTTACCTTGCCCATCCATCAAAATTATGCGTACATATACAGGTAGGAACCTTTTAGTGGTGTAGAGTAGGAGAGTGCCCTCCTGATGATGTTACCTTTGTGTGGTTGCTCCAGAGAAGGTGTTTTGACTTCCTTGTGTGGTTATATAGGCCATAGCTGCCCCTAAGTCTAGTGTAAGAGAAGTGAAACTTGTGTGAATGGAAGTTAATTGGGCTGGAAAGATTAGGAGGACAGGGCATATCAGATGATGTGTACAAGTCTTAGGAAATATTGGTGGGGGGGGAAATTCTTTTTAAAGTTAGGATTTAGAAAAGTAACATTTCCAAACAATCTAATCCTTCCTACAGAACAGCTTCTCATGGGTGGGTTGAACAGACGGTTGTCCTTGCCATTGTTACACTGAAAAATGTTTAAATAGTAGGATTATCACTGAAAACAACCAAATGCTTTCAAAGAGAACAGGAGAGATAAAATTAATAATGGAATAATGCCCATATCCCTCAAATTCAAATGCACCGTTCCACATACGTGCCACCATTTCCTTGTATCTAAAAAACTTTGGACTGATACTTTTTCCCCTCAACCAAAAACCAAGGCTTTCAATCAAAACTGAAATATGTTACCGCCTGTACCCATTTTCAGTGGGAACACCTTGGGGGAGACTGACATGCCTGCCAAATCTTGCAAGTTTAGTTGATGAAAAAAGTGGTGAAGCTAAAAATTGAGAAGGCTCAGGAGACAACACTACGACCCCACGTTGGTCACCAGATCACTCAAAACCTGTTAGGTGTTTGCTATTGTTAATCAGGTTTTCTGTTGCATGAGCCACTTAGAGGACCATGGATCTGAAGATGTTGTACCATGGAAATGCATCAAATCAAAGTCTCTTTCAGTATCTGCCTAATATAGTCAAATGCACTGGCAGTGGAAGCTGGATATCTGTACTGTGTACAGTGTACTATGCATTCTTTCTCTGACCTGGGGGGGTGTTACCTGGAATCTACTCTCCTGTGGAAAGTTACAGCAGAGGTCAGCTTTGCTGACATTATCTGAGGGAAGGAGCAGCCCTCATTTTCTTGATGATCTCCTGACCTGAATTGTGTATCAGTCTTGGCTAAGTTCCTGGTCTCAGGCTGAGGCCCATCAAACCTCTGCTTAAAAATTAACACGCAAATATATTTAAGCAACAAAGGATCTAAGAAATTATCAGCAGCGGAGCCAACCTTCGGCACCAAACTTGCAAAGCCCAGCTAACAGCTACTCCTCTGATGGCATCTTATGTTGGCATCTGATTGCATATGGGAGAATGCTGTCTATAAACACTCACCAGGCAAAACTGGTTTCCGGCTTCTTCGCCTGCTTGGAATCACCCATTTCAACACAGTCTGGCAGCAGGAAAAATAGGTAGTAAACCAACCACACATTGTTCCTAGTCAAACATGACTCTGTTTGTAGAGTAGCCCCTGCCATGTACAGCTGAGTGGGAGACATAGAATCTTATGTACCAGGCACAATCGACCAATAGATTCTTCTGCATCTACCTCAGTTGAATAAGTAGGATCTGCAGGTTACACTCATAGAATCATAGAATTGGAAGGGACCCAGGGGTCATCCAGTCCAACCCTCTGCAATGCAGGCATCTCAGCTAAAGCATCCATGACAGATGGCGTCTAACCTCTGCTTAAAAACCTCCAAGTATCCCCAGCCCAAGTAAAGTTTGTGTGAAAGGGAACTGCATCCTTCATAAATGTGTTAGCAGCAGGATTGTGGAGGCACCAGACATGTTGCTGTACATAAGTGTAAATTCCTTTGATGACATTTTGAAGCAGATTCTTGGGTGGAAGGGGGAGAGAGATCTACCTCAAAATGGCACCTCTGTGACGAGAGACAGCCTGACTCTGAGTATCAGGCCCTGGACACAGAGTGGGCATCACCTTCAGCATCTGACTTGCCCCATTTGAAGGGTGAATGCAGGATTAGATCAGTTGTTGTTGGGTTGTTGTTTTTTTAAAAGATAACTAGATACAAATAAATTGTACTGGCCTGCTAGGAGGCTACGTACCTTATGTTTTTCATGCTGGCAAGAGAGGAGAGGAAGCTTAAGCATGCGGCTTCTATTAAGCTTAGCATACTAGTTTTAAAATGCCTTTTACTGGCAGACAAGGCTTGAGGCGGACCTTTCTACCCCTCCTCTGCTGGCCTGCTGTGTTTCTGTGCTGCTTTCAAAGGAGATAGCTCAGAAACCAAGTGGTCTGGTAGAGGATCCTTCCTTTCTCTGCTAGCTAGCTCACTCTCCTGTGTGTAATCCCTGGCCACATTTGGCTTTCAGGGAAATAGTTAAATACTTGACTGGACTAGATGAACCTCCAGTCCAATCAAGCAAGGCAATTCTTATCAAGTGTCAGATGTTGTAGGAAAAGTTATTGTGCCAGTTCCCCTAGTTAGCTTTCAAGTCTTCCAACCTGAACATGCATTGGGGGACACATTTCTTTTTCTGTTTTACCATATATGTGTGCACTGGTGGTGATGCTACTGTTGCCGCTCATCTCAGATCAGGCTGCAACTCAGGAACAGGTACTAACCTACCTGATGAAGACCAGTGCCATGGGGAGCACCCAACCCTTCTGATTCCTGATTCCTAGACCAGGGGTCAGCAAACGTTTTCAGCAGGGGGCCAGTCCACTGTCCCTCAGACCTTATGGGGGGGCTGGACTATATTTTTTGGGAAAAATGAATGAATTCCTATGCCCCACACATAACCCAGAGATGCATTTTAAATAAAAGGACACATTCTACTCATGTAAAAACATGCAATTCCCGGACCGTCCGTGTGCCGGATTTAGAAGGCGATTGGGCCGGATCTGGCCCCCGGGCCTTAGTTTGCCTACCCATGTCTAGACCATCAGCTCCTTTAATTTCACCACTTAAGTGAGCGCTGAATTGATTGCCTGAAGGTTTTCCCAAACGGAGGCTTTGACCCCTTGGTATTGCAGTTGCTCCAGACATCTTGGTGGTTGCAAACATTCTCTCACTCAGTGACGCCGCACCCAAGTGATGTTTCCTATCTCCTGAGGAAGTTGTGCCAAACACAATAAAGGTGAAGCACATAATTAAAGTTTGGATGTATTAATTAGAAAATCTGAGAGCTCACTCGGAGATGAAAGAGTAGCAGATGTGTCAATGATGAGAAGTTTGACATGCTCGAGATAAAATTTAAAATCAAAAGCCTCCGAACTGTTTCATGCTCCATTATTGTGGATTCATTCCTGAGTTCAAAGTCTGGTGCTCTACTTAACACATTCAGTTTGATCATTTGGGCACAGATATGTGGTGGGTCCCCCCCCCTCTCCCTTTTTCTTCCCTCCACCCAGTAACTTTTTATGAAGTCGTGATGCTGTCTCTTCTGGATAAATATTTGATGCTTCTTGAGATTGTTTGCTGTTGGCTTTTGCAGGTCAAGCGTCTTCTATACATGGTGCTCCCCCACCTACCTCTTTTTTTTTTTTTTAATGGCGGAGGGAGAAATCCCCTTCATCTTTATCTGTTGGGACCATTAAGGGATGTGATATATTAAACAGGAGGAAAATCTGTGAGCCCAGACAGAGCATTAATATTTATAAGTCACAAAGACATTGACTTTATTTTAAAAGAAATCTCACTAAAATCTTCCATGCATCCAACTTGATATTTAGTCGTGACATTCTCGTTCCCTTTTGTATTTATTACTGGCTTAGAAGTAGTTTTATATCCTGCTGGGATGTATTGATGGAGGGAGAATAATGAAGTTAACTGCTCTGGAGAAAGGCAGAGGGAGAGACGTACTCATCTGCTGTTGATATTTAGTCTGTTAAGCGCAGCAGGGTCTCTCTCGCCTGCCCCACTCCTAGCCCCTAATTTTTAGATTATTTTTTTTTAAGACAGAATAAAGACAAAGCATTATTGTTCTTAATACATTGCAAACCGTCCTCTTAGCCATAGAAAACATGCAACTTTTTTACTTGCTTTGTGGTGTTGTTTTTCATTTGTATTGGTTTCCCCCCCCCCAGGCTTTTCCCATACCATGTCACTCACGTATCAATGACTAATTTTGTGTTGTGTGTTGCTTCTCCCCACCCCACTGCCACCAATTTGTCCTAATGCTTGAGGGCAGGGAAATGTGTTGCTTTGCTTCAGTCATCCTAATCCAGAGCTTCACCACCAAATGAATGGAGTCCCATCCTCACATTTTAGCCTGCCCTCTTCTCCTGATACCTAAGACCTACTTCATAAGGGTGGGCAAGAGGGTATAACCGCCATCCTTTATTTTGCTTCTTTGTTAATTTATTGACCAGTTTTATGTTCTGCTCATATTTTTTAATTTGCTTTTTTTCTGTTTCCCTTTTTATGTTTTATCTAGATCCCCCCACAACTCTCCCTCCACCCACAACAACCACAACCACTACCATCCCTGCCACCACCACAGGTACGGTACCTTCATAAACCATGGATAAAAACAGAAATGTGTGTTACTTTCTATGAATAGCAGATGGGCAGAGGTTGGGGGAGGAGATAGAGGAGAGAAGGGGAGCTGTCACCACATTTTTTACACTTACTGTTAATTTATTTTGTTTTGTAAACGGCCTCGGTCCTGTATACCTGAAGGAGCGTCTCCACCTCCATCGTTCTACCCGGACACTGAGGTCCAGCACCGAGGGCCTTCTGGCGGTTCCCTCACTGCAAGAAGCCAAGTTACAGGGAACCAGGCAGAGGGCCTTCTCGGTAGTGGCACCCGCCCTGTGGAACGCCCTCCCACCAGATGTCAAAGAGAACAAGAACTACCAGACTTTTAGAAGACATCTGAAGGCAGCCCTGTTTAGGGAAGCTTTTAATGTTTGATCTATCACAGTATTTTAATATTCTTTTGGAAGCCGCCCAGAGTGGCTGGGGAAACCCAGCCAGATGGGCGGGGTATAAATAATAAATAAAAAATTATTATTATTATTATTATTATTATTATTATTATTATTATTTTGTTTTGCTAGCACTGGAAAGTGGGGCCCACCAATAAATGATCCTCTGATAATGGAGGTCCCTGAAGTCTCAAACATCCTGCTCAGGGAGTCCATAAATTAGCATTGCCCAGCGCCCCCCACCCCCAGGTTCAGTTTGAGTTATTCATGCTTTAAAACGTAAAGCACTGATTCTCACTTTGAACTTTGGCTTCGGTAGTATATTTGCAAGCATCTTTCTTTATACTAGGCAATTAATTTCGTTTTGATTTTCAGTTATCATAATCTGCTTCAGTATCCTGCAGCCATCAGCACAGCGTACACAAACAGAGCTTCTTCCTGATGCTTTCTAAACTAGTTCCCTCTGAATTTTAAATCCCTGCCCTGCCTTCCCACCCATCACTTTGAGCCAAGATACATCCTACACAGTCAACCGCCATCAAACATCATTTGTACCACCCACCCTTTCCTGTGAGCTGCTCTCTCCCTCTTCTGATAACCGGGCATGGTTGCCAAACCCATCTTCCATTGCCATCACCACCCCCTGGATGCTTCTGTTGCAGCTTTTTTTATTTTTCTTTCGATACGAAGAGATGCCAGACAGAGTCCTGTACGGAAGGTGAGACTGCACTACTCTCTTCACAGGCAGCCTTTGATCTTGTTACAATCTCCCCTTTGCTTAACGCGAAGGTTGCCATTCACCTTCCAGGCAGTTGTTGTGCCTTCACTCTCTTTATGTCCCTGTCTTCCACTTTGCTTTCCCAGAGATTCAGAATTAATGGATCTGTACAAATAACAAAAACCTTTCCTTCCAGTGTGCCTTAGCTATCATTTTCTGTTGTCTTGCCTAGCCTTTTGCCTCATTACATTTTTCTCCTTCCAGGATCTTAAGAAACCAAAGCTCCTATAGGTTTCTGTGTGTTCTCAGAGTGCCTGAGTGGTTTGTTTTGTCTGCAGCATTATGGAGTGGGTCTGCCCACACACTGACCCACCATTTACCTTCTAGCACTTTGTGGTGGTGGTCCACAGGTTAACCTCAACATGTGCCTTATAAACCTGTGCAAGGAGCAGACTTGAAGACTCCAGATAAATGCAATTTGAAGGGTGGAGGGTCTCAGCAGGCTACCTGATGAAGAGAAGAGCTCATTTTCATGTGAAGTGACTTCCTGAGTTTAAACCGTCATGGTGTGAGGTGTCTTTCATGGGAGGCAAGTTAAGTTGTGGCAACTGTATTGCTTTTATAATCCCTAATAGATGTTCAGACTCGACTAACTTTCCCCCGCTCACTCCTTAAGACTCTGCGTTCATAGGAGGTCTTGCCATGACCTCAGGGTAGAATATCGACTTCTGGGGGTTTGTAATATGAGGTCTTTTTTTCTGCATGGCTAAGGGTTTGCATCTGATGTTTCGGACCAGAAGACATTCATCCTGCTTTGTTTTGTCACCACCTAAAAGTGAAAATGTGACTTCAATGGGAGAGGACATCTTAGGGCGACTGGGTATCAAGATAAACTCTCCACTTATTCTCCTTCAGGAATAAGTGCTCAAAGCAAAATATGTGTGCATTAAAAACTGCGCCCAAGTTGGTGCTGGACAGCGAAGCAGAGTGCTTTTTAAAACTCAGAGTAAAAATAATGTAAGTTGGAATGATAGGGAAGGATTCTCTTGCTCACATGGGGAAAGACAGTAATAAAGCTCTGGCCAGCAGTATTTGGATGGGTGGGGGAATTGACCGTAAATTAGCTCTCTCTGCAGCACCATCCAACCTCTGAGGGACACCGGGAAGTAGGAGGAAGATGACTAGTCACTGACAGCTTCTTATCCATCATTTTGTTGTTCCTCTTTGTTAGGCTCTGGCTCCTCAGTTTTTCTTTAAAACCAGCTGAAACCAATGGGATTCCAAAGTCCATGTTTCCATATAGGTGGACCATTGCACCCACTATTCTTTTAAAGAACTGACTTATCCCTCTTCTTCACCCGTCTGTTTGCTTCTATGGTTGCTGTCATCTATGAATATAATAAGACTACTTCTTTATGCCATTTCCATGCCGATTCTGTGGATTTTAATTTCACAACATTTCCCTCTGGGTGCTGCTAATTTTTTTTTGTAATTTTATGTTCATATTTTTTTTAGAAGTATTTCCCCCTTCTTTTTAAGCTTTATCAGTCTAATTCCACATAAGCTGGTAATATGGCTCAGTTTCATTGCAGGAAATGTTGCGGATAAGATGCAATCTTCTTCGTGATTGGCTGTGTGGTGTGTCCTTCCCTTCCTCTTTTTTCCACATCACTCTTTATATTACCTTCAGCCACAATCAGGAACCCAACAGACCCTTTCCCCTGTAAGACTCTTCTGATGAATTGGAATCTTCCATCTCTTCCCAGAATCCACAGGCTCCTTGTGTGTGTGTGTTAATTTGTGTGTGTGTTTGTGTGTGAGAGAGAAATTAATTGATTACTCCTATAAGTTGTCCATTGATTAATGTTTCATAAACTCACATATGGGTGAAAACTATATTTATGAAGCAAAAATCTCTTTCTTCCTAGATAACAAGTGTGTGTGTCACAGCACGCATTTCCTCCTATATGTCCAAGAGAATGGTGTAATTGCCCTCTGCAGTTTTTATAAGCACTTACATTAAATATATTTGGTTCTTCTTTTTTTAGCTGATGGCACTTTGGGCAATTAAAGGTGTTTATTAATACCGATTAATAAAAATGTTGCAGTCCTTCTATACAAATGAGTTGGAGGGCTTCGGATCATTTGCACACTTCAAAGTAGATATAATGGTGCTAGCTCAGGGCCTGTCAGCATAATGGGTCCCAAAACTCAGGTAAGTAGTAGACATCTTTGTTGAAATGTGGGTTTTGGTATCTTATGCTTTGCTCTTTCAGCAGAAGATTAAAACAGTGAATGGGACCAATTGGGGCTCCTGATTGTGGCCACAGGTAATCCCTGGCTTTTAGTTGGATTTAAGCAACTGTTTTCCCCCACCCCACCCCTCTTCTTTAAGCCAACGTCAGGCCTCCTCAGAGGGTAATTCTGGGACCCTTTGCTTTAACTCAAGGCGTTTCATCCACGCACCAGCCATCTTATATCTTCTGCATACAGTTTCTCAAGAGCTACATCTTCCCTAGGCACAAAGTGCCCTTGTGGTGGTAACAAATGATCTGGCACTGAGGCATAGTTAAGCTGAGATTGCCACTAGGACAACTTTGTCAAATCCCTTCTTTCATTCTCTCCCCCCCCCCTTTTCCGTGATGGATGGGATCTTGCAGAGTTGCTGTGTCTTAGCAGACAAGCTGTGTAGGTATTTATCTTATCCTGAAGGCTTGCTATCTTCCTGCATGGAATTTAACTTGGGCTCTCTCTCTTCAAACAAATGAAAGGTTAGAGAACCGAATGCCCCCCTCCTTCTCCTTTTCCGCAAGAGAGTAGGCTGCCTGCTTAAATTTGCCTTGTATATTATTGCCTGACAAATGGGTACAGAAATGAATTTCCGTTCTCTCGCTGCATTCTGTAGTACTTTAGAGCCACCCATTAGCCTTAAAAGGTTCAGCAGCCAAACACCAATGATTAAATGTCGGTATAAAACTCCAGGAATGTATTTTCTTCCTTCCGTGCTAAAGGTTTGTGTAACCGAAAACCATTCTCCAAATGAAATTAGCATAATTACCAACATTTTATGCAGTAGTCACAGGGAAAAATGCTTTCCTAAAAGCCTCAAGGGGCAACAGATCATTTCTGCTGTTGCTCTTACCCCTTCCCACATTGCCACCTGCTTAAAACCTATATATACAAACACATAGAGGCTTGCAAAGTCCAGTGGGTGTAAATTACCTCAGATTCAAGTTTGGGTGCTATGGGTGACCTTCATAAAGCCCCAAGCTCTTCAAATTAAAATGGGCAGGTGATAATGAGCCCACTATTCTTGGCAGCCCCTTGTCATAGTCCCTGGAGTGGGGGCGATCTAACAGTATAGTTGTAATATCATTTGCTTTATGCCAGAAGCCTGCAGTTATCAGTCCCAAATGCCTTCTTTCAAGCCTGACCCCAGTTAGTTGTGCCTGCAAAGGAACTCCAGCACTGCTGATGAAGCACAGTAAATTATTTTATTTCTTGCCCACATTGTAATTAAGAATGATTTTTCATTGGCCTTTGATGGCTAGTCTCTGGATGCTTCATGCTCTCCCCACCAAGCTTCCCCTAACTAGAGATCCATTTCCAAGCGTGTCATGTGATAATTTGACTGGGTAACCCTTTGTCTATCACGGGTTCCATTCGTTTTGTGTTTGGCCCTCTCCCTGGCAAGCAGCACCGCTTCCCCCCAACCCCATAAAAAAACCCACCCCCCTTTTATATCACTTCAAAAATGTCCTTGTGGCTTTATTCATTAAGACATACAATATGATATGGCAGAGCAAGCTGCATAATTTAAATTGCCCCTGGAGTCTTCCCTTGAAATGTTCCATT